GCCCCTGGCCGGGCGCGTGTACTGGCCCCGCCCCGCACACGCCGACGTCTCCGAAGCGCGCTGCCACGTGACGTCACCGGACCCTGCGCCCCGCCCACTGGGCTGCAGCCGAGGCACCGCCGCGCCTGTGCACTGCCCTCCCCAGGGCCCGCTCCCCGGAGCTCGGAGCATGCGCAGAGCCCTCCTGTTGCTCAGGCGCAGGGAGGGGCCTGCGCAGTGTTGCCTGGGGTTGGGTAATTATCGTATCGAAACGATAACTTCAACCCTTTAACGATGCACGATCAAGCAGAGTGAACGTGTTCAAAATGCACGGTCCTGTTTGAGGCAGCTGATTGATGCAGCATATGCAAAACCCCAGTCACTCTCAGGCACTCTTCACTGACTTGTGGGGTTGCTGCCAGTAGCACTTTCGTACGACAGCTTGCCTCGAAATAAAGAAATGCTTCAACTCCGATGGCCCAGCTCAGTCGCTGGCGATTCGAGTGAGCAATTTAAAGTCAATAATAAGAAGATGTATTTGCATGCTCATTTGCATACTCATTTGCGTATTTTAGTGTACGATAGTTGTTCAGCAAATAGGATAATTTCGAGCTTCCAACACGATAATTGCATATTTAAGACCTGGCAATGCTGAGCCTGCCTGCTGGTGTGAAGCGGGGGCTGCACTGGGGCAGGGGCAGGAGCCACGCTGCTCTTTCCTTGGGGCTGCTGCTGGGCAGTGCCCTACGTCACCCCTGACTAAAGCAAATGCCTCGAGTGCCCAGGGCTTGGAGCTGTCCTGGAGCATTTGCAGGGCATAGGGGATGCACATGGGTGCATGTGCACCCCCTGCGTAAAGGCACCACTGACACTGTTGATGGCGCCTGCGGGCAGTCTCCACTTGCCACTGCCACCCCCTGCCCCGATACTGCCAGCGGCTTCTATGGGCGATCTGTGATTGCCATAGGCTGCCACCCCCACCACCAGTGGCATCTGCAGATGGTTGCCGACCATCAGTTGTTGCTCACCACCCCCACCCACAGCGCCTGTGGGGGAATTCCCAGTGGGGTTTGGGGAGTTCCCATGGGAATTTCCATAGCTCAGTCTTCCAACCTGCGCAAACAGTGGCAGAGACGTTCGAGATCAACACTGGGACCATCACCTTCGACTCGATCAGTCAGAGACTGAGGTCGCGATGAGGATCGCACTGGACCATGCCTCACTGGCCAAAGTCAGCTCACAGACTCAGGGACGTCTGACTTGCGAGAGGCTAACGAAGCCTAATTGGACAGAAAGTGCACACGCTTGGCAACCGGCTCTGACCAATAAGTGCCATTGATATATGTTTATGTTTGTGGTGTTATTGTATGTTATAGTCACATTTGTGTTTTATTGTTATTTGTAACCATCCCTTTGTTGTTGAACACAGTTGTTTAAATAAACCTTCTCCATGATCTAACCCAGAAATCTCTAGAACCTTCTCTCAAATCCGGCCAACTAGTAACGGGCCACAACAAGCGCCACAGCTGCCTGCAGGAGCTCCCTGCTTACCGCCACCGTGCTCCTGCTGCTGCCTCCTGCCAGAGCTCACCATGCCCAGCCCCAGCTTGCAGGG